GAGTTCTTAGTAACTTCTTGAGTGTGGTAGACTTTGGAACATGTAAATTTTTTGCCTGTAATGTTATCCTGTGGTAGGATTTTGGCAGACAAATGCTGCCGTATTTTATTTTGAGTCTAAGTTAAATGTTTTCTGAAAACAGAAATGTGCACTGAACTCTCCACTGCAAGTCAAGATGTGGTAAAACCGAAAGAAAGTTCAAGACAATGAAATGGAATACTACTGTCGATTTCATGTCCACTGTGTTTTATACAGTATCTTTTTTTGTTCACTTTGGAAATTTTTACTAAAAATGCAAAAAATTAAAGTATTGTGCGAAAATATGTAAGGTTTTTTGAAACTTGAAATGCATTAATAAATAGACTTGATGAAATAATATTCTGAAGATCCATTTACTTTTTCAACTCTGAAACAAAAAGGAATATACAGATTCTGCTCCTACTTAATTTTTGCCTTTTGCTGGAAAGGGACTGTGATGACAAAAAATAATCTTTACACTATCAAAGGGTACCTCCCAATTGTAACATCATACAGTTAAATGTAAGAGTAAATGTTTGTGTAACCTTTTTAAGGAAAAGCCCTAAAATCACCTTTAAATTATTTGTGTAATCACAGGAGTACAGCTTTCTCTGCTCTTATTTTCAAAATGGAAACTAGTTACTGGTAGGGTATTCGAGTCTGGCCCCATAGCTACTGAATAATACCTTCTGAAAGAAAGATTTTTGAAGAGGAATACTGGGATTAACCTGCAATACTCTGAATGCACAACTGATGGATTTGACTTTTAGAAGGAGCAAATTTGCTATTTACAAGATGTTTTAAAACTGCTAAGCTGGGTCTCTGTGTTTTCATGTGTGTTGTATTGTTGATTTAACTGATAAGAGGGCTTTTAAAAGCCAAGTCTTGCCAGCTTATTTCATTCTTAGGGCTTTTTGTTGAGGATGACCTGCTTAGACATCAGTTTCCCTAACTGAGCAGCATAGACTTTGATGTAATCAAAGAATATTCAGACTTCCTTCCTCACAGTACTTTTATTTTATTTTTCCCATGATTTTTTTTATATATAGAGAAGTGCTTCCCCTTGTAGCTAAATAGCGTTTTCGGGGCCAAAGCTACTAAAAGATCCGTTGGAGCAGAGCCCTTCTGCAAATCAACATCATAGATGCCTCATAGATTTGGTGGTGGTTGCATTTAAATTTCTGCCTAGGAATGCAAACCAAAGGGATAGAAATAATGCCTAAACATCAAAAGTACAAATTTTGTGTATATTTTGAAATATGTTTGAGGGAAACAAATCAGTACATGAATAGCTGTCATTTTTCTAACTAATATTAGACCTAATAATTCCTAGTTGTAGCTATTCATCTAGTATTTCTTAATGTTTTAGTTCTTAAATGTTAATGTATGCACTCAGCTCTGGTGTTAGAAGCACATGTAGTCAGAATAGTATGAATGTGAGAAGGGCAGCAAACTCCTCTTAAGATATAAATTGTATTTATACTATACAGACTGTAAGTCAGTGATCCAGTGTGCCTTTAATTAATGTTCCACTATTTCTTTCAGGAAAAAGATACAAAAAAGAGGGAAGAGATTTCTACTTCTGATTCCTGGAGGTTCATTACAAAGAGCTGATTAAAAGGACAGCAGTTGTTACATCGTTCTGAGCTGTGCTTGCCCTGATAGGAGTAGGCTCCTCATGGCTTTCAAGGTCTCAATTCAGTTGTATGAAGTGAGACAGGAATAATTCCAATGAGCACAAAGTGAGGCACTGCTCTAGGAACTTGCAATTGTAGGTATGACTTTAGTTACGTTTGTGCATTGTAAAACTTTGAGTATGCTGCAACTTGGGCTTTGTTTCATTTTTGTATCAGAAGTCAGTGTAATGGTTATCAAAACACAGGACAGGATTTATTTGATCATATGGTTTGTGAAAAATGCCATCAGAATAAATATCTTAATATTGGTAAGAGTTCAAATACTGAATGTTCTTTTAAATTAAATTTAAATTTAAGTTTTCAAACTGTCTTATCTGAGGATATACTAGCTCGTTTTAGTTGAACTGGAGAATGAGGATTTCTAAGGTGTCTGGGGGAAAAAAACAAATGTTAATATCCCTGTTACTTGAGGATTGTACATGTCAATGCAGTGTAGATGTGTCTAACCTTTTTTCCACCTGCTTTTCCTGAACTAATGCTTTCAAAGTTGTTTCTCCTGAAGGTTAGATCCCTCTATCAGCCTTCTTACCAAGTAAGTGATAGTACTAGGAAATGCTAATTTTAACATATAAAATGTTTCTAAGTGTGTTAGGATGTGTAACTACATGACAATCATGTCTTGAAAGGCTCTGTGAATACTTATGTCTTGCTTAATCAGACAGCATTAAAAACTGTTTTGCCAGCTCTCTAGTGCTTGCTTTTTTTTTTTTTCTTTCAGATATAGTGAAACACTAACGTCATTTCTACACTGGAGAGGAAGCACAGTCCAGTTCTTTCTAGCCTTTGTCTCTTGCTCTGTCACCCTTCAGTATCTTCTGAAGAAAGCTGCTTTTGAGGAATGGGGTAGGATTTGGTTCAGGAAGCTTACAAAGTTCATAGCTTAGAAAGTTGGCGATAACCAGTGTTGCAGATGCAATTCCAATAATTGATATTTCAATTCTTCTATAAATAGACAAGTATTTTATACACAAAACAACCCTAAACATAGAGAAGTAAAAGCAGCAGATTTTCAGCTTTTTCCAGAGGCAAAAATTGAATTCTAGAAACAATCTAGGTAGATAATTTGTTAGCCACACACATATACCTCTCTTCTCTCCCTGTGTCATTTTTCATTGTGCTTTGGAAAACTAAAATGGCTACACTGTCATTTATTCCTTGTCTGTCATTCTTCAGGACATAGTCCATTTTAGCTTCATGCTCCTTAAAATGCTGTTGTTGGGTCTCTAGCAATTCAGTCTCTTCAGTGGATGACAGCTAATACAAATGTAAAAAACCAAAACCAACCATCATCTAAAAAAGGTGTGGTGCTTACCTAACTCTTTCAGGAATATTTATTGCTGAAATTTCCCTCTTCTGTGTATGCTCCTGATTTGACTTTTGGCTATTGTACTTAAGTGATTGGGTTTTTTAACACAAAAAGTATTAATACCTATGTAAAAAATTACAATTTAACTGATTAATTCCATGCTTCAGGTTGCTATCCCCGATACCTAAATTTCCTAACATAATTACTGTATTAAAGCTCTGTAATATGTTCTGTGTCTGTATAAAAATCAATTTGCTTCATTGCGCAAAACCTTTGAAAGCACAAACCTTCATTTTCAGTTAAGATGTAAAGATTCTGTTACATGGAATTTGTGTCTAAATATAGAAACTTTTCTCCTAATCAAGATGCTACTCAAGTGACCATTTTAAATACCAGATTAGCTTCTGAAATTTATACTTCAGGAAGGACAGCCGTTCTCATTTGAAAAGTAAGTATGCTTCAGTTCCCATCATGTTTAATCAGCCTTTCTGTTTCTGTATTGAATATTCCTGTTTACGTAAATGAGTGGTAGTTATCGAAAACAGCTTTTAAAAGCTAGAAGTTAATATTCTGAGTGGTCAGCAAAGATGCCTGCATTCAACATTTGGTCACTGTTCATTGTTTGCAGGATTGCTGGCTCTGTGCAACTTGTTCATTTGTCATGCTTTTTAAATAAATCTCACTTTAATCCTAATAACATCTGTATATTTTGATTCAAAATTCCCTGCAATATCTTGGTATGGAAAATATGCTTTGCTCCAGGTCTTAGGACTATCTGGCACATTTGTTTACCATTTAGAGAATGTTTAAAACAAATTACTTTCAGAATACAGAGTTGTAGAAACATAATTTTTAATTAATCTTGTGCTTAGCATTACAAAGTGACAAATGAAATACTCTGACATGCATATTGATTTCTATTTCAGTATGCACTAACCATAAAATAAAAATAATCACAATAATGTTTCTTTATGTAGTTTCTATTCTGGCATAAGAAACAAGGGGGTTGTATATGTTTGAATTTATAAACTTTGTTTATATGTACTGAAGACGTTTGAGGGTTTTACCATTTTCCTTTTATTCATGCAGTTTCAAATCATGCTAAAATCTGCTATACAGTGATTAAAAATCTCAGACCTTACCTGAACAGGTAAATATGATTTTAATGCAAAAGTTAACTGAACTCAGTTGTGCTAGAATTATGTGTAGTATACTAAGTGTCATTGAAATAATTAAATTACTAGTAATTTAAATGAGTACTTAAAATAGTTAAACAGCAAAGCATTTTCCAATAGGAAAGCTTAGTATAGCATTTTTAGGCAATATAGTTATTTGGCGTGTCATACGGTTACGACAGCTCAAGCATTCTTTATGTTGAGATGCATTTTAGATTTTGAGTATTATAAAGTAAAAAGTTCAAACTCTTTGTTAACAGTGTTATTTATCTGGGAATATTTTCATCTATGAATTCGTTAACTCACCCTAAATTATTTCCTAATAAAGGAAAATTTTAACTGATAATAGTCACTATTAATGTTTCAAAGTATTTAATGGAAAATGAGGCTTCTTTTTTCCCTTAAATCCAACAAAATGAAATTTTTTAAAGGCTTAAGGCAATGATTCTTTTAAAGAGTAATTCTTTATTTCTAGTAAGCAGGTGTTTTTAAGACTTTAAACAACTTAAAATTGTCAGTTGCTGTTGATTAAATCACTCATTGATCACTTTGAGAGTAGGCTCATAGATGAACAAAGCACGTATTTCAGCTTACCATTGCATCACACAATCTAATTTTTTTAAATGTATTTTCATCACCACCTCTGAAACTATGAGGATATTTAAATTTAATGTAGCTGTGTGGTTTTAAAACATTTTTCTAGATGTATAGTATTTCAAATATATTTTGGTGAGTAGTTGTTTTTTGTGTTCCTGCTCATTTTCAGTTTTGTCTCCGAAAGCGATCTTCACACCTCACCAATGTTTTCTCTTGGGCTGGATGAAGGTGAATGTTGTCAATGCTTTGAGAACAAAATGTCATTCTAGAAAGAAAACACAGCATGTAAGCATAATGTTACTTTTTAGGACTACTATCTGTATAAAAGTGTGCTCTCTAGATACACGCAATCTGACTTTCTTGATCCTGTCTCTTACAGGTAGGTATCCCATTGTTTTTGTAGGCTTGTGAGGAAAGAGATGTATCTGGCTGCCAGAGTAGGCAACTCCCATGTACGGAGTGCATTACGCTTCCGTCTTTCTGGTGTCATACGCAGCATGCTGTTCTCCATAGCATACCCTCACAGTGATTTGGTCTTTGAATTCTCAGTGGCCACTTTCATTGTTTCACTTCTTACTACCAGGATTGCACTATTTGGCCTGCTAGTATTTAGTTGTGAGGTTGCTAAAAATCAGTTACGTAGGATGCTAACAAGATCAGCAACTACATATGCTACAGAAATGTTTTCTGTATTTGGAACTCAAATAGGTTGGAATCTGGTATTTTATTGCTCACAATAGTCTATTTCTTAACTACTCTTTCAGTTCATGGTGTTATGTTGTGTCTAAGTTTCTCGTTAGATAATCTAACAAAGGAAAAGTTATTGTGTATATAAATACCACAAACATTATGAGGTAAAGATACATGGAGATAAAACTCTGACAACACTTTGTTCAAAAGCTGGAGAAAGCACAAGACAACTCAAAACACATCTTTTGTTTACTACCCTTTTTAATATTGAATTTCCAAAATTACTAATTCTTAGATCCATTATGTTTGGTCTTTCCAAGAAGGCCAAAATCTACATGCTCTTTTCTTTGAAGAAAATACTTTTCCTTGAGTATAGTTTGTTCCTCCTTTTAGAATCACCTAATAATCTTTCATTCTCCCCTCAATTCCTATGACAAGCCCAGACTGCACAGAAAAAAACATAGCACATAATCAGTATCCATTAAAATCTTAACACAAATTCCCAAGTCTGCTTGCAGCCAAAAAAACTTGCAAGAACATTAGGTACCTGAAGATACCAGCATCATTTTTTGTTAGTGTAATAACTACCCACCTCAGTTACCCATTTCCTAGGATTAGGAATTACATCAGTAGTAATTGGCTTGTCAGGTTATTGACAGCTGCATTGGACAGGAGAAATTTTTCATATACTGATAGAAAAATGAGTATACCTGACATAATCCTTTCATAATCTTCATACTTTTTTTTCTCAAGGTACAAAAATCTGTATTTAAACAGACCTCTCTAACTTGTAGTGTATACTGTGCTTTAATTTGCTTTGGCAGCTAGGTCAGTACTGATTTGGGATCATCAATTTTTAAAACAGCAGGAGATGCTATAGAAATGATTTTTTTTTTTTTTTTAATGGCAGAATCATGTGTCAAGTGCTAGATTAGGAGAGGGCAAATACCTACAAAATACATTTTCAGGGGGACAAAACCCAAGAAAACATGACCCTTTCTCTGCCCCCCAGCACACGTTTTCATAAGAAAAATCTCTGTGTCTTTAAATTGTCTGATTTGTCTTTTGAGTCGGTATCAAGGAGATGCAGCTCTGCTGATAAGTATTGTTCCACAGAAAGTCTGCAGTAGTTATAACTGGTGCTGGTAAGAAAGAGTCTGTAGCAAGGAAAAAGCAACTTCAGAGACTGAACCACAGTTAGAAGGTAAGACATGCTTTTCTGATTAACCTTAATTAAACTGCTCAGTTAAAAATTTCTCAGAGGATTAAAGCAGTGGGAATCATTACAAGTTTTGTTTTTCTGTCTTCTGGCTGAAACTTCTCTGGGTGAATAAGCAGTTTCAAAAGTGTTATTAGCATTGGTGTATGTAGAGAATAAGGCCACTCAGACTTGGTGATCCAGTTTCAAAGCAATCAGAAGGGAAAATAGAATACCCAGCCCCACCAAACACACACACCCCCCCCACCCACCCCAAATTCAGTTTGCATTCAGATTTTTTTTTTCCTCCAGAAAACTGCTGATTTTACTTTAGAGTTCAGCTGACAAAATTCACATCACTGATTTCATACTATAGAAAAAAGCATAACCAGAGCGCAAAAATTACTGTCAAATAGCAGGGAAAAGTGTGGAATGTAGAAGTGTAGATAGTCTTTGTTTTCCTGGACTGCTCACGTTCTGTTTGCCCACTACAGAAATTTCAAAATGTCTGTAGTTGCAGCTTTGTTTCCACAGTTTATCACTGTAGGAACCTCTTAGACAGCCTGCACGGTGTAGTAATTCATTATCAACTACCAGATGCTGGACTGACTTTTAAATGAGTGAGACAAAAATAAGGGAATTTTATCATAAAAATCCTTAACTTCAATGAATAATCAGATGACTGTGATCCTTCTAATGAGGACTTTCAAGAATTATGATGCTGAGTTTCTCTATGAAGTAGGTATTGAAAGTCAAATAATTAAGATTTGGCATATTTTTTTAAGTAGAAATTTGACTTTTTCATGGCCCTAATGTTGGAATCAATATTTATCTTACTATCTTGTTTCTCTGGAACTTCATACAGTCCTTATGGAGTGAGATAATCACATTTTAAAAATAAGAAATTGTCATCAGTTATTGTCTTTAATTGTGTAGAAAAATTGCACTGCAGAACTTGTTAAAATTCTTCCTTGGATCTGTATGCTAACTCCTTCTCTATCCTCTATTCCCAACTATCAACAAAATTGTCACCCAAGATTCTTGTGCCTTAATTTCAGATTAGTGACAGTGGCGAGCTAGACCATTTCCCACTATTCATTTCTGACCTGAGAACAAAGAAATTAAGTCACTTAAAAATCATACAGTCTGACTGAGGGAGAAGGGGGAAAGCCAGAAGTTGTACATCGATAAATTCACCATTGGTGTGACTGCTGGGACTCAGATGCCTGTATTTGAACTAGGATAACCTGTGTGTCAAACATCTGTGGTGTTATCACAGAACGTGACACTTACTTTTGCTGTGTTTCCCCTGCTTTCACTCTTATTGTCTTCACTATAAGTCCTGGTCGACGAGTGCCTTTTGTCCACGGTATTATGGTTTGAACTGTGTCCCATATATTTTCCCAAACTGCAGCTCCTTCCCATTTGAACTTGATCATTATTAGCTCACCAATATCAGTGTCCAGGGTGATGAGAAAAGAGTAGGTTTTATTCCCATTAATACCTTCAAATCTGCAGAAAACAAAACCAGAATAAGGCTATCTTAATTATTATGGATTAAAGTGAAAAAAATTAGTTTCTCTTCTCTTTAAAACCAAAGAACGAACTATGTTTCTCTTCCATCTCCGGGGAGGAACATTACTGTACTAGGATACTCTTCCTCCAGGTGCTTAAAGTGGTGAAATATGACAACATGCTAGAAAGGAAGCAGAAGTGGGAGAAGCTTGAACAGCTGGTGTCAGTGGTTTCTGACAGCAAAAGAAAAGGTGTCCCATAATAGCATCTATGTTCTGTCTTTTGTCTGCTAGAGCAAATGCTGATCCACACTGTTGCCTTTGCTTTTGTTAATGCAGATAGTGTCCATCGTGAGAAATATCAAAAATTCATTACCTTAATTACAGCTGCTTATTTATTTGTGTTTTAATTGATTAGACCTCCCTGTGTTAGCTGTGGGATGGGCCAAATGTAAGTGGACAGGGTGCTTAATGTTCAGGGAAACTTCCAAGATTACTAAGTTTGTTTTATAGAGATTTTTCATGCAAAAACTGTATGAATGCTGTAAAAGTCTGTGACTTTTAGGGAGTATGGGTGAAGAGAGGATAATTTCCAGTTAATCTTCACTTAACCGTACTAAACCATTTCACTCATAGCATGACTATATACATGATATGGTATTATAAATTGGCACCATGTTTCTCATTTGCACAATGACATGTAGTATCAATACTCACAGTGGGATGGGCAGATTTTTAGCATCTTCCTTAGTGCCTGTCAGAGACATGGTAAAAGTTGGGTCTATCTGCTTGCCTTGGATTTCATTGATGAACTGGATCTTGAACTGATAATGATAGACTGTAGAAGGGAAGAATTTGCAAAGTGATGAAATTAATGGTCAAAGAGGCAATAGATTTCTCAGGCAAAAGAATTTTGCCTTTCAGAGCAGAAACTTGATTGATATTTCCATTATATTTTTAAAATAAACTTGTTGCAATTAAATCATCATTTTTTCTGATTGTTGCTGTGCTGTGTAATCCCTTCGGGTTTGAGGTCTTGTTGCACTATTTAAAAGGATGGAGAAAAAAGGTAACCTGGGTTCAGTTCCCTTGCTAGGATAAAACATTCTTCCATGGGAAATATTTCAGCTTTTCTGAAGCTTAATTGTTAGAATTTCTGGCAAGCCCTTGATCTAACCAGCAGACAAATCCCTATGACTGGACATGGCTAGAGATGTATGATACAAATTGAAGACCTTACGCAATGTAGTCTCTGATCAGCTAGAAAATTGCCCTGCAAAACAGATGACTCACAAACTTTCCTTGACTGCATAATGATACATTGTTTAACATGCATCAGTTAACAATATGACTTTGTTCAAGCACGTTACTATAAGAAAGAGTCATTAATACTTGGAGGTTTGGTGGGTTTCTAGAAGAACAGTGTTTAGGAAAGACTTTGAACATTGTCAGAATGAAGAATGCCTAAGAAATCATCAGTGTACTCTTTACAGTTTGACATTTAGTAAGTTATGAAAAAACCCAACAAAAAACCACAAACAAAAAAACCCTACCAAACCCCAACATACAGTTAGAGGCCATGTGCACACAGATCTGGTCAGCTAGATTTGAATGTCCAAAACTCTTCTGTCTGGTGATTCTACCAGCCACCTTCTTGACAAAACTGATAGATTTAGGTGTTAAGGAAGAAAACCCTAAGTAACTTCTATTAACAAAGACCATGGATTATTTGGAAGAATTAGGGGTGTTGTATTTATCCTTGCAATCTGGTCAAGTTACATGTGGGAAACTGTTCTGGTAAACATTGCATGCTGGTTTGAGTAGAAAGATGCTCTTTCCTCATTTCCTCTCCTCACCCACTTCAGGCCTCACTACATCTGAGAATGGCTCCACCATTGCTAAGGGAGCCTTCTTTTCATGTGTACGCACAGCTAGATATTTTTTTTTCTTTTTGCAGCTCTGAGTGTTCACAACAGAAGGTATTTGTCAGAAATGCTGTATCTTTTCATTGTTGTTTCATAATTATTGTATGTTAGACAACAATATATTTTCTTTCGAAAAGGTGTCACTCGGTAGAAAACAAAATGGCTGATTCTTTGCTGCAAACCTGATGAGGACAAAGTAGGCAGAGAGGCTTGTTTACAGATCACTTTTATTACTATCCTGTCTTTCTCTGAGTTTTGTCTCTATGTAAAAAATGATTTTTCTAGTGTATGTTCTGATAAACTTAGGCTTTTGCTGTGGTTATGATGCTCACTGTAAGGAAAAAGGTGAGCACATTCATATAAAAACTCAGAGTCAGGGTCCCATCACAGCTTTATTATAAATGTTAACTTCTTTGTAAGTACTTTTTTTTAATTTGAACTGGATTAATGTATGCTCCAAAATATCATGCCATTAACTTGAAAAATGAAATGTCCGATTTTGTGGTGACACAGAGGATTGTGAAGTGTAATACTGAGTTTCTCAAATTTCTTCTGTTTGGGCTTCTCACATGATTTTCAAACATTTTTTTAAGAGTGTTACAAAGATGACTTTGTACGTGCCCTCCCACAGTTGCCGCCTTGTTTGGGAACTTTTGTGAGGAGAGACCATTGCCTGCAGCACTGATATCTGCATGTGTGCCAAGGACCTTTTTTTGCAGCAAAACCAGTTCCAAGTATAAAAATGCAATGTATTTAAAATTGAAATCAAAGCCAATAGGACACAGATACTTTACCACAAGCTGAAACACTCTGTGTCCAAAGAATGCAACACAGGCATTGCATTTCTGTGCCCGGGTGTGGTGGTAGTGGACACCATGTCCTCAGAGCAATTAACTTTCCTGATTCTGACAGTGACCTGGCTGTACTGCAGCAACGATGGCAACTAGACACAGCCTCTAGAATTTTTAAATCTACTTCAGGTAGCTTCCTGAGCTGTTTTAAAAAGTATGAGAGATTGAACTGCTCTGAGCATCAGTCAGGGCTGAGCAGACCCCCCTGGAGGCATCACCAAGCACTTCACTGCTGTGTTAGTGGAAGACTTCCAAAATTATTTTCAAGTACCTGAATTCTTGTATTTTTTAAGAATCTGTGATACTGCAGTTGAGTACTGGGCACTGTGAGGAAACAAGATTGGTAATGCAAGCAGCATTTTTAAGCATTTCTCCTCAGGACTGGAAAAGCCCTTGAGTGGTCATGCCAGGGGTGCACTGTGGACATTCAAAACGCTTCCCCAACCTCGATGTCTTGGGCAGGGGACAAGCAGGCTGACCCCTGCAAGAAGGAGGCACCCCCTTCCTGGCTGTGCCAGGCAGAATGGGCCAGCCCCAGCAGCGGGAGAGGGTGTGAGGGACCCCCATGGCTGTGGGGCTGTGCTGGGGAGGCGAGGCCCTGGCAGTGCCTCAGTGCTGAGGAGAGGGGCTGGGCGGGGCTGTGGTGCAGCAGGGCCCAGGCACTGTGGGAGGCTGTGGGAAGTGCACTGGCTGTTTGTGAGGAGGTGGGCATGCCTTACAAGTTTCCTCCACGCGTGGTGGCCTGCGGCTCCAGGTGGGAGCCCTGCCCAGGCTGTGCCACACTGTTGTTCACCACATGCCTCATCAATAGCTTTGGAAGGGAGGTAGTGAGGAGGAATACCACGTGCCGAAAGTCCCTTGGAAGAAGCGTGTGCCTGCTGTTCATCCCACACGGCCCTGTTTGTTCTCGCTTTAAAACGTACGTAAACCTTCCTGATGCTAGGTGAATCTGCTCAACAGCAGCAGTCACCTCGTGGGCTCTCTGACAGCTGAGTCATGAGAAGCCTAAAGCCAGGCCCAGGCCATTTTGTAATGGAGACTGGCAGATAGGCCCCATTTCCCTGTCAGACTGCTTCCCCTCTGTCTGGTAATAAGTGCAAGAAACCACATTGATTGTCTGAGCTTAGAAAATTGTTACTTTGTGCTCTTGATAAAGTAATTTAATGGAGATAAAGCTAGAGTACCAGTCACTTTTAGTGCTACAGTCCTGCCCTGTAAAAGTCCATGCTATTCTGTTGTCTAGTCATTGTTTGAAAAGTAATAATTTATATGTCATTTTGTAGACTAATTGCAGATAAAATTTGGGCAAACTTGGAACAGGAGGTTTTACAGGCCTCCCAGAGCAATTATGCTGCTTTTTTGGCTTGGCTGTATGCCTGCATATGTTATAACAAACTGGTACCAGGCCAGTTGTAGAAAAACCCTGTAGATCAGGACCCTAAGCATCTCTGAGGCCTCAGATCCACTGTTAACATGTGGCAAGCATGCAACATGCTTTTTCCCCACAGAAGTATTAAGTCAGGATCTTGATGAAAGGGCATCAAGACGGACTACCAGGATTCTTAGTTGTCTCAGCAAATTGATTACTCCCATAGATTTTATACGCTTTAATAAATGAGTAAAACAGGATCACAACGCTTAGGCTTGCTCTCACACTTTGTGAGCAATCTGGAGACTGTAACAAGCATTCCCACAAACCTTTGAAAGGCATATGTGCTCTTGTTTTCAAAAAGAGTTGTCTACTTTTTGGGAGCCTTTCCTCCCGAATGTTGTAGCCCAGTGTGTTGCACCGGTTCTTTCTACAGCTGAGACACATTCCTTTGTTGAAAGTGTTGATGTCGTTGCACCAGTATGCTGTGCTTTGCTTATCCTTGTGAAGCAGAGAGTCGATGAACAAATGAACTGACCTCTCATGGGCACATTTCACAGTTTGAGTGATACCTGGAAAAAATGCAAACCACAAAAATTTTGCATGCTCTTGTTACTCTTTACCATTTCAACTGCAGAGTACAGTAACCAACTATAAATACGTGTTATTGTTTCCCTCCCGCTCCCTTTTAATAGTAAAACATCATGATTTTGCCTCAGAAATCATACATTGTAGAAACTTTACTTTTAGGATCATCCAAAAATAGTGTGGCTGAACCCACATGCTAATAAAATTGAATAATTTGCTGCTTAAAATTGTTTAGCCTGACTGTTTAAGACTGTAGATATGAACCTTGATTTCATTGTCCTGGCTGTTTTGGTCAATATGAAATACAATATGAAGCTATATGCAGTCTTTCAGATCATGCCACATTAAAGACAGCAGCCTCATTCTGAATGGTTGAACACTGTTGTCTTTTGGATGCTTATGCAGGAATGTCATATTTTGTCCCTATCAGAGTGACAAACTCTTGTTGAACTGAATTCTTGCAGCTACTACTGGGGAAAAAGGAGGAAAAAATGTATTTTAAATGTACATTTAAAAAATTATTAAATAGTTAGATCTTCATTTACAAGAAGTAAGTATCTTTTTCTTCCTTTAGTGTCATCAAATTACAAAAGTTATTTTCCTCTGTATAATCAGGATATATCACAATGGACTGTTTTTATGTCTTCAATGATAGGCTTTCTAGCTGAAGCTTGGTTTGACGTTTGTCATGAATTATCTGCTAACAAGCAAGGCCTACTTTTAGACAGTGTGATGATAGTTGAGAAATATTTTTTGCAATGCAATATGCTGGGTAAACAGTACTCTTTCGGGGTTTTGCAGTGAACAGTTCTAGTTGTCACTGTGCATCAGTACCTTACCTTTTGTCAGTATGTTGCATCAGTTTCTCTGTATGTTTATGTTTAGGAACATTGGAAATAAGCTTCTGTATATAAAACCTAGCCTGGAACACTGGCAGTCAGGTCCTAGAGAGAGCATCATTTGCGCAGCTGAAGGACGAGGAGTTGCGAAAAGATGAACTAAGGTGCGTAGTACAGCCCTGTGTTTGATTTGATTTGAAAGAATTAATTGCACACTAGATGAATCTGGCTTACTTAGAATAAGTTTTCTCATTTTCTGTACCGCTAAAACAAATACCTTTGAAATTATAAAGAAGTGCTTGACAGCAGGATGCTCATAGCCTCATTTTCGGAAGTGCTAGGCAGCCAAATTCCTTACTGGAGTCAGAACAGTTTGACCTCAATGCATGTAAAAATCAGAAAACCAATTTAATAATCTCCCAAATAATGGGAGATAATACTCCCATTAAATACTGTTTGGGACCATAGAGATATGTAAAGTTTCCCAGAGACAGTGTCTGTGCAGCTGCAATGCTGCTTTCCATTCCATGCCATTGGTTCTTACCAGTGATTCCGTATTGTGCAATGTGGTTATACACATGCATGATGTGACAGCCAGGCTGAAAGGTACCTCCATTGGGATAAAAGTCAAAATGAGCCACGGGCTGCTTGATGCCAACACTAAGACCCATGTGCTGTTTAGTGAATGTATGAATTGCGTCTACGAAGTTTGCATCATCTGGAGATAAACGGTCTGTTGGTGACATTCCTTCAAACAAGGGACCGGCAGGGTCAAGGCCTGCAATAAATGCAAATCATCCAGTTGTGATACAGTGCAGATGGGCTGTTCTTCTAATGTTATGAGAAAAGTCTGTGATAAATATTTAAAAACAGACAACGGTGGTACTTTACAAGGTCTTTCACTGACAGAAACAATGCTAGGAACACTTGCCCTGCAGAGGGTAGGTGGTTACACCAAAAGGTAAACACAGGCACTGTAATAAACAGTAACTGCTCCATGCACGAGGACACGGGCCCAGAGATAGATGTGTTTGTTATAGACAAACTATGCTTGCTACTGCTTTGTTACTTGAGGCATGTTTACTTAATTTTGTTCTTTCATACTCTAGAGGTCATGCATTTCAGAGGCCCTTTTGAAGACACCTGTCCCACAACAAGGTTCACTTTTAGCCCATATTTTGGACCTGAAACTTTATAAAGATTCTCTTGTAGCTTAAAAGAGCTGTGTGTCTGCTAGATGTTGTTTATATATGTGATTTTTCAACTTTAAAAGTCTTGAAGGCAAATTAATATGGTATTCAGAAAAATAATATTCCACTTGAGGAGTCTTGTTGGTTTTTGTTTGGGTTTTTTTTGTTGGTTTTTTTTTTTTTTTAGTTTGCTAGATATTTTTGTATGGTGCTCCTTTTGGTTGGAAACTGGTTTATGGAAAAGTACTGCCTGCGTAGTTTGAAGCTTGTCCTCAAAACTGAAGGCACCTTTTAAATTTGGGATTCTTCAGTTGGTACTTTGGACTACCATAGTTGCATAGATGTAACTGGACAAGACTAATAATGCAAGCTACAAGTAGGGATGTCACCTTGAAGGCATACATTTCCTTTTATTTTTTATACCTTTTATCACTATGAATTTTTGGAACGTAGTGTTACAAGTCTGAATAATTTTTGCTGAAGAATCATATAGCTGTTACAATAAATAATGTGATTTAATGTGGTTTACTTATCCATTATCAAGGTTTGATGTACTAATGTGGTTTGAACAAGCAGCGCTGATGAACTGAAGTCTTTCAGTGTATACACAGGTGTAACATCATGGCACACTGTAAAATCAGCTTCTTGGCATGCAGGCACTGTCACAATAGCTGATAGTATAAGGGACTATGCTATGTGGCAATGAGTCCAAGATCAGAATTGGGACTTCAAACTACAGTCATGTATATTTGCCTCACTCCCAAATCAGATTAAAGTAAAATGTTTTCTCAAACATAGCTGTTGTGGGCCTTGTGTAAAGTGCACTTCTGTTTTGTTTTAAGCTGTCACTGTGCATTAGATGTGGTACTGTATATGGTGTATCAGTAGCCTTATAAATGTATTTGCATTACATTTATAATTAGTACAGTTATAAAACATTAGAGAAGGTTCAAAATGCTACTAGTCAAAACAATCAAGTGTTATGGTTAACTTTGTTTACCTTAAACATCTATTAGGTATACGCTATTGATATGCTTCTTGTGAAATGTTATCCACGACCATCATTTTTGCCATAGGAGAACTGACTTTAATTCGCTCTGTAAGCAATGTAGTATAATTGAAAGCTCAAGCACAGTTAATCAATGTCATTAATGCAATTTTCTTTTTAAAATGAGTTGCTAACAGTCAACAGTGTATTTGAATGGCTTTGGATCTAGATAGTGACCAAAGATCTGAGGTTAGTGGTAAACATTTGCTTTAAGGTGTTACTGGGAATGGATACAAAATAAGTTCAATCAACATGCAACTTGAATCTTTGGTTTATGATTTGTAGTCCCCATGCTCATATATTCTGTGTGTCATAATTGGGACTGAGGTAGGAAAGATCAAAGCTAGAAATACTATGATACTTCATTTTGAAAAATGTTTCATTAAATTTTCTAAATCTAATTTCTAAGCCAATGGGATGAAAATGTGGCAAATACTGTTATTCAACAGCTAAATAGATATTTGACATATCAATGTCGTATCAATATGTAACTTAAATCAGTTGACTGTTACATTTCTTAAAGTTGTAAGTCTTACCTGTAATTCTTCCAATCTTGTTTGTACCACTGATAAAACTTCCAGCAAATCCTGAAACATGAGCTCCTAGGCTGTACCCAATTAGATGAGCATTGCTTCTGGAAAATTGAATGGATTCCTGGAAGATAGTGGCAGCTTGATTTAGATACAGAAAATGTGAAAAATAAACAGTGCAATACTTACTACAAGCTAGGAATGCCATGAATTACAACACAATAAGTTTGTATGTTGAAGATGGAGGTCAAATGAGGTGCATGGATTATGCATTAAATTGTTTTGCTGACTAAATGTTAAACCTTGCCTCCTTTGCTTGCAGCAAGAAAATGCCACACGTATGGGCACTGCTCCTTATGCACTATGCTCAGGAGGACCATTGACACAGATAGGATTTTGTTGCTGTTTGTTGCAAGTGTGCATTGCCTTTTGTCTGCAGCATTTGACTTTCCTATGACTATAAAATGGATATCTGTCCTTTAACTTCAGTGTAAAACAACCCTTTATAGAAAGTGCCGTGTTTTGGTTTTTTTTCATGAGATACTAGCACAAGCAAAATTAGAAGGCAAAGTATCAAAATATTGATCAGACATGCTAAGTGATACAGCAATGACATTTCTTGGACTGATTTCTGCAAAACTGGCTATCTGATCTGAAACTAACAGAATTGGCCTCAGGCCCTTTTTTCTACCTAATCAGTACTGTCTAGATCTTAAGCATTTCACCTGAGCTGCAAGGCTCAAAGTTTTTCAGACTTGTAAAGAAAAATGTGGCATGTTTTTTGTGCAGGAAAGGCAAAACTCTATTTTAATTTCATTCTGGATATTGGATGTTCCAGTGGACTGGCTTTGCAGCCTTGATACCAGTCTTTTGTGAAGATGAGGTGGAATTTGGCAACCTTGTTTTGAGAGAGATGGCTCTCAGAAATCACAAGATCTGACCAGTTTTCTTGGCAGGTGTTGTTGAGATGGATGCTATTGAAATTGTTACTGATCATACCTCATTAACTCTTGGACTAAGAGTGCTAAGCTTTACTTTATTTTTATTCTTTATTAAAATGTTGCACAGCACTGCATTTTTTGTTAAATTCTTTGAGGATGTTTCAAATACTCGCCTGCCTACAAGCAGAGGCATAGCAGAAAGATAGTTATGGGAGTTGGAATGAAGGGTTTTTTAACTGTTAAACTCAGGAGGGATGCTGCTTAACAGAAGGAGGGCTTACTGCTTGAACACTCTCAATTGGATGATGTGAAAATGTATGGTATATTTAATTTCTGGAACATACCATGGTACAAGAGGAGCTACCTACAGTGCTGAAGCAAGGAGTCATTTATTCAAGCCTCAATTTGTTTGCTGACACTGGAGAAACCATAGACTCTCTTTATTGTTGACAATGTGGTGTGTCCTCCTGAGAACCGAGCAAAGTCCACAGTTTGATTCATTCAATAATTAAACAGCTTCAAAATACAACTTTAGGCTCCAGCAACTCAAACTACGTTTGACCAAGAGCCAAGGTTTCTTGTAATGTCACAACAGAAAATAGTGACTCTGGCTCTTCTGCCTTCTCTTTTGTGTCTGTTGTACCTAACTGGGCATGGTATCTGACAACTTCTAGCTCTGCCATTCCTGTTGAAGGCAGCTTAGCTCTTCTATGGTATTTGCTACAAATCTTGCAGCTTTGCAATGTATTTCCCTTCCACCTTAGGCCTCACTGTATTTAAATTATTAATGTATTCAAAAATTCTTTGAGAGGTACAGAAGTATAATTTCTTTTCACATTAGGTAGCTTAAATTAGTACGAGAGAGAGATGGAAAAAAAGAGTTGTTTAGGATGCTTGGTTTGTATGAGCGATTCTCATTCTAGTGTGTGCCTTCTGCCTTTTCTTAAGTAGTGCTGGAGGCCAGTGATCCCTTGCAGACTTGTCTGCAGCCTTTGCAATCCAGCCACAGCAACTGCTGTCTATGTAGCAGGAGTTTTGATGAGTAGTCACTACATTAGTGCAGCTCTGTACTGCCTCCATGTCATCTGCTTTGTGAGGCATGGTTGTCCTCTTAAAAGGTCTTCCTTTATATTCTGGATCTCTAAGCCATTATTTTAGAATAATCTTTGGAAAACTGAGACAAAAATCAGACACAATGTCATGCTTGAATTCTGCATTAAAAGCAGAAATTATGCACAGATAGCATAGACCTATTTTACTGAACTAACCACTTGCAAATGTTAGTGTGCCTGCTTTCAAATTGTGGGACTCTGCACACATGCTAATTGAAAAGCTAAAGTAGCATGAAATTATCTCGCCTCTAAAGATATATCACAATATTTTAATAAACAAGACTACTTGCTTTTTTCTCTTGCATGATGAAAGTTTTATGAAGTCATATGAAGGTTTATGGAAGAAAAATTTGCAGTGTATTAAACAAACATAAGTGATTTAAATGAACAGCATTAACCAGCACAGTATATCAGAAAGGTAGTAGAAGCATAAGAACAGGTAAATAGGTCTTTTCCAGAGAAACATGTTTTGATGTGGGGGCTCTTACCTCCAACCATTCCAGGAAGTCTGCTATCTCCTGTCCTATGTAGCGTGTATTCTGTACAGCAATGGGATAGTGCTGGTGAGCAAATGTAAGCCAGTCTGCAATGACCACGTTAGTTTGTTTGTGCTGAGATTTCAGAGCTGCTGCCATTTTCCAAATCCAACCTTCTAACATCCCATCCACCTGTTTTATTAAAACAAAACACCACTCTTAAGGGAAAGCAGTCTCTGACAAATAATTCTTGTGAGAAGTTCAAGGAAACAAAAACCCAATATAAACAAGGAGGGCTTAATGCTGATAAGTAGATTTTAGGGGCTTCAGCATGCTTCAGTGCTGAGAATCTTTGGGTTTTGGTGGACAAAAAAAATTAAGAATCAATATAAGAACTGCATAATAATTTGTCTTGTAATATGAACTCCTATCAGTGAAATGATGTCCCTAAATATTTTCACTCATCCTGAGATAATTGATATTACTGATTAAAAAGAAAGACAGAAATGTCCAGAAACTTTCTGATTTCATTCAAGAGCAGCTGTCCCTGTGAACTTAAGTTAAAGGGGTTGGAGAGGGAGGGAAGCTGGAGGGTTGCAGACCAGTGGGCATTTACCTTCTACAGCCGTTCCATTTTGAGATCTGGTTTGGGGGTTTTTTGTGTCTTTTTTTTTTTTTTTTTAAGGACCTGATCACAATTTTCTTACTAGCATCAAAGACTGCTTCTGATTTGATGGACCAGAATTATTATTTAATCTATCAGATTTAATTGTTGCTCTAGTTGCACGTATTTCCTCAATTGATAGCATATCCTTATCTCTTCTGGTGTTTTAAACAGAATTTGGGAGTCTCAGTTTTGGGTTGCGATACATGTTCCTCTAAGAGCCCAACACCTCTGCAAATGAAGTTAATATGAATGGTAAACGTCAATGGCAGCAGCTTCAGGTCCATGGTTTGTCTTTGAGGAGGGTATGGATTTTGAATAAATTCTTAATTTGGAGTCTTGGCTAAATTAATCTAGGGCAATATTTCACCCACAGTCAGCTCTGCTGTTACTTGTTATAGAGTTATATGCATCAAGGGCGGTGTTCAAATTTCTCTGCATGTTTGCAGATGTGCAAGAAAGATCTATTTTGCCACCTTCTCTCATGACATTGGCTCTGTGAGAATCAAGGGTCTGTTAAAATGACATTATGTCTTATCCTGCCTTTTTTTTTGTTTCTTTTTCAACTGAGAAGCTAATCAAAAGTCACTTTTACTGCTATGCTTTTGAGAAAGGTTATCATGGTGGATTTTTTTTTTTTTTTTAGTTTAACTGGAAGCAGTTCAGTGACAATGCATTGATGTTGAAGGCTTCATTTACAGCTGAAGGGGCTTATAGAGAAGTTCTCTTTAACGGTGTAGCTGTGAGAAGGATGTGGGGAGATTGCATGCACTTCTTTTCAATAAGTCTGTAAATATCTGGCAGTGAACATATCAGAGAAATGAAACTGGTATTCAGTCCTCCAGAGGCATAGCACATTAATTCAGCTACTTGTTCTAACTCTGCTGGCTTTAAACCAGGGCTGAATCTAATCCTTGGCATGGGACTCCTGCATGAAAAATTGCTTGTAGACTGTTCCTTCAGAATCTCAGTGGGGAATATCCACTTTGTGTTATTTCTAGCCATGATTGCTACCAGGGAAATCCACCATCTTTCTAATGACAACCTTTCTCCTGAAGTTACTTTTGGCATTGGCATAATGAGAAGAAAAGTGTATCAAATCAGATGTAGTTTTGAATTAAAAATAAAATGTGAGTTCATACCGACCAGCCATGGACTATCATCACCAGAGGAAGAGACGCATTGAAACTGCATTTCTCAAGAGTTTCCAACTGATTTAAAAAAATCTGACAGACGCCTTCAGTTGTATCTGTATAGAGTCGAAATTTGGTTTCTAAGTTTTGCTGATCTTTCTTTGTTCTAGTTTGCTGACTCTGTGATCCCAGTGTCTCTGAAATGAAATTCGTAACAATAGTCATAATAGGATGGAACCTAAAACCTGAAGAAGTTGCTAGTGAAACACAGTTTATAAGACAAAGTAAACTAGACTCTAGATATGTATAATTGCTGCCTATTCCAGGTGGGCCTAAGCTATACATTTTGGCTCAAAGAAGTGATCTCTTTCAAAGTTTGAGATGGTTTTAGATGTGCCTCTGAGTGCATCTATTTGAACAATAACAATTACATAGGAAATATTGATCTTATTTCTAAGGGCCCTTATAGAATGCATAAGTATTTTAAAAACACAGTACAGGTATTGTGACTTTACAGTGTTAGTGCATGCACAGGCAAGCACATTCATAGGCTATTAACTCTGCAGGGCATATTTTACTAATGTGCATTTGCTAGTAACTGCTGAGCAAGCATCATTACATTAAAATAACCATTTTATTCAGGGTTATAACTCTGCTTAGAGACATAGCTGACTGCTTAAAACTATTAGACCACATCATAAATGATTCTTTTTCCTCTAAAAAGGCAAGATGAAATATTCTTGTTCTAGTTGTAATACTTTTGGTACTTCTGTTTCTAGATAAAATAGCTTGGTACATATAGGACAGCATTTTCAGAAATGCCTGTTAAGTACCTGGGGTGGTATCTGTATTTAAGAAAGTGGGGCCAGGGAGAAATGTGGTCTTAACAACATCATGAGCTTAGAAGGAAAAACATGAATGTAGAGAAAATGCTGAACAATGACGTAAAATAAAGCAGAAGCTTACAAAAAGCACATTGTGACATGCAAGCCTGGTATTTCTTTCTAATAAGAAATACAAAAATAGGAATAAATAGAAAAAAATAGAAAAAATATTAAAAAATGGGGATTAGTAGAAGAAAAGTTAGGGTGTGATGAACTAGACAAATGAGAGGTTGCAGTTCTTGTGTTGAAAGGGAAAGTTTGAGTGGAGAGTTCCTTGGAGACTGTTTTTTGGCTAATCCTGTTGTCATGCTTTCGTTAAAGAAGCAGGCAGGAAAGAGACAAGACTGACAAAATTTGGGAAGCATTTGCTAATACTGAGAAGACCAAAATGTTAAACACTAAGAGCTAGATGACCTTGAAAATACAGCAACAGGTAGAAATCTTGTACTAGGAAGTGCAAGGTCATGCAGTTAATAGGAATTTCTCTATAAGTGGTGCTCATAAATTGGAAGTGACACAAGAGTAAAAAGACTTGACTGTAGTAATCAATAACAAAACTATGAGTCACTGCTATGATTTGGCTGTGAGAAAGGAAAATATAATTCCAGGATGCATCAAGGAAGATGTTTTTGGTAGGAAAGAGAGAATGTTAGTGGCAATGCATTAAGGCACTTAGTAACCACGTACAGAACAGTGCGTATGGCTCTCCTTACCAAGTTCAGGTGATGCCAGTTCAAGCTGCAACACAAGCTCAGCAGCACTACTAAAATGGTCAGGGAGGAGGTTTTTGTTTTAAGTAGACCTAACAAATTCTGAAATATTCTTGGAGGTAAAAAGGTATTCTATTCGCTGAGAAGTTAAAATGATCTGCGTTGGAACAGAACTCATATTAGTTAAATTTAATTCTTATATTTTTCTTGTGTAAAAGTTCCTTAACATAACATTTAATATTAGAAATATTGTATTGTATTTTACCTTCTAAGTCAATGCATTTAATTTTTTTTGTACATCACCACTCTTATATCTGTAGATGTTTTCTGAAAACATCTAAAATCATAGCATATTCATTTCTGTATTGTATCTGCAAATATATCTGAGGTTCTAGGGCATTGTTGTCTTGATAATATTTTAATAATTTCCAAGGTATTTCTGATACATTTACAGATGAGCCTTTATCCTGCAAGTGTATTTAGTGATGGGAAACTCCCATACTTACATATTTGCTGTAGTACCATCTTATAATGCACAGTACAAAGAACCCTAATGTGAAAGCGTGCTGGTTTTAGATCAGTGTCACGTGTCAGTCTTGTACAAACTTTATTCAAGGTTTTATTTTAGTATAATGATAAGACATGATACAAACAGCATATTTAATTTGGTTAAGTGAATGGCAATTCTGGCAAGAAAACTTCCAAACTGAACTGCATGGGGTGTGCACTGTTTTCTGTTTGTGGCTGATTATTGTACATTCCAAGTAACTCCAGGCAATGTTATGTTTCATAGCTTGGAAACATTATTGTAGAAAGTAGTTCAGCCTTTTAAAAGAGCTGGAATTTAAAAAGCTTCAAGGTTAGTTTGGTTGTCAAAATTCTTAGCTTCAGTGTCTCACATTTTTCTTTAATGGCACTTTTAACTGTGATAGCTAGCTAGGACTAAGTCTCATCATTTCTCTGTTACAGTGTCTGCTTAAGAGCATTTCTGTTGGACTTTTTTGTGCTGGGAGAGGACTCAGTTTCTGAAGAAAGTAATATTGGGAGAAAGTGAATCTAGATAAAGAATTGAAAATTAGAATTTTAATAATGTTGATATTAACCTCTGGTTTATTCAGGCTTTGGTGAGCAGTCTCTACACAAAGATAAGCATTGTGTTCTATTTTTAGCACAAAAAGAAAAAAACCAAAAAACTTGTGCCTGTTCCATTGTGCACATCCTTTCTTTGTTTTATGCTTGTTTTCATTTTCTTTTCACTCTGTGTTTGTACAATGCAAAGGCGCTTTGTCACTTTCCATATTCTTTGTACATACTACAGAAAACAACTCTAATAAATAGCTGTTTTCTTTATACATTGATTGTGAAAGTGCTTGTGGTGCTTTAATGGGTGAGCCTTTGGCTTGTCAGTAAGTCTGATAGAGGGAATTAAAAATACAGTTTGAACTTCTTCATGGCTGTCAGAAGTTTAAAGTTCCAATAGAATCTGTTGTGTTATTAGACAAAGAACTGCTTCAATCCATTAATCCATGTAATGACTTGGAGGAGGAAATAGTCTCAAGAGCTTGGCTTCTACAACAGACTCTTGCTAAAAATGTCATACTAGTGACTCAGTGACATAATCAAAGGGAACTGCAAAGTTTCATAGGTCAGTTTACAAATTCAACCCTAACTGAAGGTATTTATTACATGTGTTGGAGTATGTATTTTTATTCCTCTTCTTGCTAAATTTGTGTTTCTGTCATGATTTTTCTGTCAAAATTCTCCAAAGCAGCACCTCTTTTTGATTCTTGTGCCTTACTCTTTTAATCTTTCTCTTCCCTGTAAAACCCTTCTTTACTATGTGAAACTTCAAAACTTAATTTTTCATATCTACTTAGAATCAAGTATTGAGATGATGGTTAGAACAGAAGGCAAAGAAATAACACCCACCCTCCAAACTGTTAACTGTTCCTTTTGTCTTTTTATATCAGGTGAAAACTTCATGGAAGAATGCTGATTCTCAAAAGCTTGGTATCTCTTTTATTGTCTGATTAAGTTAAATAACTTTTCCCCTCTTTTCTATTCTTCATTGTGATGTAATTTTAAAATATTAGTTAGTTCTCCATTAAAAAAGTGCATTTATGTACAATAATCAATAAGCTTGTGAGACTGTTGTAGCAAAGAACAGGGAAACCAGTGCACAAAGAAACCAGCAGTGCCTCTTTGTTTAGAACTCGGCTGTTGGGTTCTGGGCTGATGCCCTGTGCAGAACAGTAAATACATCCAAATCTCTCTTTCCTCTCTTGAAAAGGGTGCAAAAGGAGGCACCAACCACACAACTGTTGCATTATTGCTTGCATTATGTACAAGGTAACAAACATGCTGTCCTCCTAGTTTCCTCATCTAAAGTAACATGCTTCTAAATATGAACGTTTAAGTGCTACTTGTGCAATGCATACCTGCTAAATTGAAATTAGTACCCCAGTGGTTTAATCTGACCTAATCTGAATTTAATGAACAAAAATACTGGAAAATCATTACAGTATGTCTTTCCAGGATTGCTTTGGACTAGCACATAATCTAGATCTCAAATTGTTACTGTAAATTAATGTTAACAAATAATAATCTCTCCTCCATCTGTTACCTAACTAAAACTTTCAGAATTTCAAGTAAGATTTTAAAAGCAAGTATATGTTAGAGAAAATACTTTTGCCCTTCATGAAAATGCTCCCTTTCAAATATATGTGTGACTAAATTTTTCTGGCCAGGGTTTCTGCCAAGTCATTAGACGCCTCATTTGGAGCTTAAACTTCCTTTTACTTGATATTAAAAGCAAAAAGAAGAAATAGTCACAGCCTGCCTGGATGAAATATATTTGTTCATTTGTTGTTATCAGATAGAGGAAGGGGCGAATGAATAATGACAAATGTGAAGCTAAGTAGATTAGGACTCTTCAGCCAGGAGACAAGACAACTAAGAGTGATGGTATAGAGGTCTATAAAATCATGAGCGGCATGGAGAAAATAGAGAGACAATCACTTTTGTGTCTCTCCCAGTACAATCTGTAAGGATTATTTTGATAACAAAATATAGCAAAAGATGATGAAATGGTTCTCCTCGAGATGTGTAGTTAATCTGTGGAATTCCTTACTGGGTGTGATGTGGGTATTAAGCATTTATATAAGGTTAGTTGGCAACTGGAAGTGTCTGTGTAAGACAAATCCAGTGAGGATTACTAAACACATAGACGCCACCACTTACACAGGAGATCGGTGAACTGAAAATGGTTGATAACTGGGAGAGTACGTGGGGGAAGTGCTATATGTATATGTAACCTTCCCCTGCTGAGTATGTATCTGCTTTTGGTGACTACCACAGGTGGTTGAATTAGATGGACCTTGGGTTTCATCCACTACAGCCACTCTTACGTTTGATGTAGAGCTACCTGGCAGTACTTTTGACTTAAATTTTTGGCTGTTTATTGAAACAGAGACAACCTCTGAAACATAATAGGGTGTGGAAAATATTACAGTTGAAAACTTTTTTCACTCCTCCTTTACGTCAAAGTTATATTAATATTTGCTGTTGTTCAAAAGTATTAATTGTCTGGAAATATTTGTTAATTTTTAGTCATTAAAAAATAATGTCAAAA